ATTATAATAAACCTTAAGTGAATTAATAAAACATAACTATATTTCATTGTAAAATGCAGTTATTATAAAACTAAAATGAAAATGATAATCCTATTATAAAATACAATACTATAATTAATATTACAATTTAATTATATATTTATAATATTATATTTTCACAACTATATACTTATAATATTAATGATAATATTTTATAACTACACAATTATTAAAAACTAGTTATTTAATAAAATAATCATTATAATATACAGTAATATTTAAAAACAGTATAATGAATATTACATTTAAATCATATAATAAAATATAATTATTATATATTCATGTTTAAATGCTAATGTTTATTTAATTATATATGGTTATTATTAATATAATTATAAAATACAACTGTTACTCAGTACTAATTATATTTTAATACCAATAATAAAAAATGTAAATCCAATTTATCATCCACTTTATATTATGAAAGACTCAAAAAAGTAATTCTAATATTATAAAAAGGATATGATTTGAGGCATCATTTATATCTGTAGCACGAATGCTTTCCATCGTTTAGTGAGATGATTTAGACACAGTAGCTCAGTAACCCGCTGCTTAATTAGGGCTGACTAACAGAAAAGCCTTCATTACGTCTGAAACGACCGAGCGGTAATTAGTCAGATGTGACCGTGTCAGTAGCTGGAGATCTGTGCTAAATGCGTCATATTATGACTATGATTGAGCAGGATTCCCGCTCCGCCGGAGTCACCAACACCAGGATGAGGAAAAACCCTGCAGTGATTTAAAGGAGAAGTCCACTTCCAGAATAAACATTTCCTGATCATTTACTCACCCCCTTGTCATCCAAGATGGTCATGTCTTTCTTTCTTCAGTCGCAAAGAAATTAGGTTTTTTTGAGGAAAGCATTCTAGGATTCTTCTCCATATAGTGGACTTCAGTGGTGCTCAACGGATTGAAGGTTAAAAATGCAGTTTCAAAGAGCTCTACACGATCCCAGCCGAGGAATAAGGGTCTTATCTAGCAAAACAAAAAATTAATATTTATACTAGGGCTGTCAGTCGATTCAAATGTTTGATCTAATTAATTACATGATATGTCGATTAATTAATCTAAATGAATCGCAAATTAAATTTGGCTGTGAAATTACCAACAGAAGATTATTTAAAGGTCCCCTGAAATGCTTAGAAACACGCAGTGTTACTCTATGTGTTGACGTCATTTGAACTGAAAGAGGAAGACAGGGCGGGACATATCAAGCAGCCCCGCCCCTTTTTAAAATAGCCAATAGCGTTCGTTTATATCACAGCTTGGGCTAGAGCCATTGAGTTCCATAAAGCCGCATTTGACAGCCACAATCTCATCCATATTGCTATAAAATATAGCATTCTGTGTAGAATTCAAATAGCTCCGATACATTTTGTGGTCTGCGCCGACTCGTGCATGTGATCCGCTCCGTGCTATCGTGTCTCTGGACCAGAACAGAGTGTGTGTGTGTGTGTGTGCGGTGCGGTGGTTAGCGTGACACGGTGCCAAACCAGACTTCTTTTTTTCCTCAATGGAAACCATATTTACACTGTTTGAATCGTTCCCTGTCCTCTATATAGTGCACTACGTGCCATTCACTGTACAGAAAATACTAATTCTGTGGACAAGTGACCGATTTCAGCCGCGGCTTCAGCGTCTATTTTATAGTGTAGGGGGCGGGCGCTTCGGATTCTAGAGAGCATTTGATTGGACAGAAAGTTTGATGAGAAGCTGAAGTACAATGTGACGTCAAAAAAATCGTTGAGCCGTTTTGGCGGAAGTGACGAACTGCAAGCTTTGAATGCTTATATCTTCTAAATCTGCCTTATAGATAACCTTAAGACTAAGATATTGATACTAACACCCACAAAACTTTAATTTTGATTTCATGGGGACTTTAAGGACATTATTGTTTTAAATGAGCAAGTATCAAGTAGACATTACAAATAGTAGCTTTAGAAATAAATATTTTATTTGATTAAAAAAATTAAAAAAATTATTTGTAAAAAAAAAAATTACACAAACATTTAGGCTATAATGGCCTAACATAAACTATGGAACATAAAAGAAGATAATTTGAGAAACATCTCAGTATTTTTTGTTCATACAGTGAAAGTCTAAAACAGCTTAGTTGCCAACAGTCTTCTTTTTCTTTTTCTTTTTTTTAATGAAACAATGTTCTAAATAAGAAACTTAAACTGCCAGCAGGTGGCGGTAAATGTCTTTATACGTTCATTCATTCATTCGTTCGTTCGTTAATTCATTCAGTCGTTCGTTCATTCATTCGTTCGTTCATTAATTTGTTCATTTGTTCGTTCATTCATTCAGTCATTCGTTCATCCATTCATTCGTTCAAACAGCTGATTCATTCAGGAATGAAGTAAACAGCTCAGTTTATGATTAGGCTATTCATTGAATCATTTGATTTGTTCAAAACGCGGATTCATTCAGAAACTAAACCCCGATGTTCTGCTCACAGATGTGCATAACAGTTCTGCGGCGGCTTTAAAGGTAATATTTTCCTCTGCAAAATTGAGCAATACAGACAATATTTTGTTAAAAAAAAAACACAATATTAACTACTTATTTACTGAACTGTTACATAAAGTCATATTTAAACGCGTGATATTCGTGACAAAACAGCATTCGTGTGATATTGCTCTTGCTGCTCATATGGTATTGCTTATCATATGATATAAATATGAGACAAAAACTCGTACAGGAGCATTTTTTGCCCCTGTATCTTGAATTTTAGGGCATAACTGCATTTATAGAGTTGTTGTCTTGCATCATATCTGTCATCAGTCAACTGTATGAAATGTAAGGTTTTGATGTACAGGTCTGGGGGCGGGGCCAGTGCGTTAAAATATTTTAATTGCGTAATTTTTTCATAACTAATTAATTAACGCATTAAACTGTCAGCCCTAATTTATACACTTTTTAACCACAAACGTTGGGCTTGCTCTAGCTCTGCGATGCATGTCTTCACACATTACGCAATCCTGTTGGAAAGGTTAGTTCTTTGTCTTTGTACTTAGTTTAAAAACTCCATCTCATTTTCTCCTCCAACTTTAAAATCATCCGACATCGTTGTTTTACCTTTTTCGTAAAGGGCATTTGACTTTTTTTGCATGTTTAACTTTGTACTTTCACCTACGTCAGGCGTGACCTTTCCAACATCACCTAATAATAGGGCTGCCTTCGACTAAAGATTTTTCTGGTCGACTAGTCGTTCATTTTTAAGCATTAGTCGACTAATCCCACATTTATTAATAAACCATTTAAATCATTACAATGAGCCTTTAATAGCCGACATATCCTATAAGCGCTCAAGCGCATGCATAACCTTGCCACAGCGCACCGCAGAAGTAATGATTAATATGAATGTGTCAGGGAAAAACAGTAAGGAGGCTGCATTAATATTTTTAAAATGTATTGATACACTAGTGCTTTTTTCTTTTTCGGTTTAAGAGATGAAGTCGGCGACACCGACTCGTCATCTCCGTCTGTATGCATGTTTCATACGGATTACATAATCTAAGAATATTTGTTTTTCATTTGAATTGGTTCATTTGAAAGCAGACATTTCACTTTTTATAGATTGCCTATATTTTTTTTCATGACTTTAAGGCAAAGATATACACAGAGTTTCGCGCTCAAGTTCACAGAGACCGAGACGGCAGAAAGCGCATCCTGTTTTCTTTCATTATTCTACAAAAGCGCAATGTTTTGTTGTTATTGTGAGTGCACACAAATAAACGTAGAGTCTTAACAGATTCAAACGATTTTTTATCTGTATGATCAAAAATGAGGGAGTATTTTAAGAGCAAGTGAGCGCTACTGTTCAGCTGCCACACTCCGCAGACACTTCAATAGCGCACATTTCTCTAGGTTAACATTAGATTGAGTGGCCATGTAAAGTTGCTAATACATACTAATTTCAGCTGATAAGTTATATTTGAGGTCGATGAATGACCCAGCAAAGGATGAACACCCTGTGTTATAAACAGTGGCGTGTAAAACTAGTCCTGTATATTTAGTTCACCCCAAAATGGGCCAGTAGTATTTGCATATTGTCACTTAACTTCTGCTGCTTGACTTCACGGAGTAATGATCATTATGAAATTAAAATGAGCCACAGAAGAGGACCAGATTTTGCATTAAGTAATGCATTAAAAAAACTAGACTGCAGCAATTAACATTTTGTCAGAATCTCTAGTACATTACATGCTATTTTGTTTAGTTGTCTGTTCATAGGAGAATCATGATCTCTATTTGAAAAAGAAAAAAAAAATCGTGACTATCAATTTATCCAGAATTGATCCCCACCTCCTTTTTAGTATAAATAAGCACCAGTCAAGCTGCGATATCAAATAGGACCACAGGGAGATGCCAAAAGCCCACTAAACCTGCTGTCTTGATCTTACTGTAACGGATCCATTCAGAATAACTAAACCAGCGCATAATCTAAAACACCTTCAGTCACCATCCAGTATAGAACTCATGCTTTTAAACCAAATACACGCTGAAAATAATAATTTACTGACATCTGGACTCCACTCTCCACAATCTCTGATGAAATTGGTTGGGTTTACTTTGTATTAGAGCG